AAAATCATTTTTTATAATTATTACGTAATACTATCTTGCCTGTTCGAATTATGAACGAATTTTTGAGTGAAATATCTTAGCACCAAGCAATTATTGATTTTTATTAGGATAAAAATAAGCAGAAAAAAAGTTGTAAGAGAATATTATTATTGGAAGAAAAGATTTTCTAAGATAAAGGATTCTTTTTGAGATATTTTCAGGTCATAATTCACATCTCTAGACGATAAATGATACAAACACACAAACACGGACACTATGACATTTAATAATAAAAAATAAAGTTCTAAATAAGTTTTCTTTTTAACGCGATACGAAACATCGTGTCATCTTTTAATCGTATAACCGTTGCTTAATGTTCTTACGCGGTACGCCTCTCTTACCTGGCGTCGAGCTGCTCGTTGTTCTCGCCACGTCGTTCGGAATTCCTCGAACTTTTTCACCCGGCTCGAGAATCTCTTTCGTTCTAAACAACTCGCGCGATCCACACCTGCCATAATCAATCGAAATTGGCCGTGTGCTACTCACACGGGGAAGGTGGATAGATAGCTGCTCGCGTAGCGCCCTGTGATCTGGCGCGTTAACCGGCGACGGCAGGACAATGATTATCCTGGTGTAGCGCAGGTGCATCCTCTCGTAAACAGGTAGCCCTCTCGTATATCCATGGGATTTCTTTCCAGTTCCCGAACTACCCCGAGGGGAAAGGGTGGAGAAAAGGGAGCTCTCTCTCTTTCTATCCTGTCTCTCTCTCTCGGTAAGCAGATTCTCGTTATCCGCTGGAAGTTCTGCACGCGCACGTTTCCCCTCTTTGAGGGAACGCGGATGCGACACGCAATTTTCAATTCCACGGTGTAATTAATTTAGCGAGAGCGGGAGGAGGGGGACGAGGCGAAGCGGGAAGGAGGCGACGGCTCGGTTAATTGCTCGCCAACGTGCGTGTCCGAATTTCAACACGAAGCCACGCCACGCCTCGTGCGCGCGTGTGTGTATGCGTGTGCTTCATTTCATATCGCGTGGTCGCACCATCCTCCTCCGTTGCTTCTCCGTGAAATATTCCGCGACCGAGATCGAAAGGCAAGAGCAAGGCGAACCTTTTAGAAAGGGTTCCAGTTTTGTCTCCAAAATTTTGTCCAAGTGTATTTAAATGTAACTGTATTTTTAAATCATATATCTAAGATAAGTGTTCGTAAAATGTACCCCCTAAGAATTTATGTAAAACATATTTATAGAATATTATAGTATTCTCGCACAGCCCAAGAATACTACTCGTGCTTCTCAATTTTGTCTGCGTAATGTTCAATTTTATCTGCTCTCGATTTAAACCATCAAACTCTATATATCTTTTAATCTCTAACAAGTTACAGACGGATGTACATTTTTTAACATACACGAATATCGAGCCGGTACAGTCTCAAACTACGCAATGAATATTGCGGATTGCAAATTGGAGATTAGAATTCAACCGACTAGAACGAAACGGATTAAAATTATTTGATTGATAGAATTCTAATCATCAGTTCGTAATTCAATCTCTTCAATATACGTAATCTTAATATAACAAAACTGCGATAGCAGTTGCTGCAGCCAGGGCACAAAATCGATATAATCACGTTCTTCTCACCGATCCTCCCGAATCACGCCACTCGATATCGCGTTCGATTACCGCTTTGCACGCTCGAGATCATTATTTTATGTGCATGCCTATCGAATGTTCGAAAGAGATACGAGTTGATTGGCAGCGGGATACATTGGTGCCTTATACTTGGCATAAAACTGCCAAGTAGAAGCCGCAGGGAGAGAAAGATTCGAGGCATGGCGAAGATCGGGGAGAGGAGAGAGAGAGAGACGGGATAATGTGAGAGTCGCGGTTGTCACGAGGGACGAATCGGGGCCGGCGGAGAACTGAAATTACGCGCGCGCCCGCGTAAAACCTCGAAATAATGAGCTTTTAATAGCCGGTCAGGTGCCTGACGAGCGGACGGAGAAGCGACAGCGTATGCTAATGATACGGCTCAATTAGTGGCCATACAAAGTTGAGAGTAAGGGAGAGAAGAAGGGGAGAGGAAACAAAACAAAATCGAGAGAGGGAGAGAGAGAGAGAAAAAGCAAAGGGAGGCAGAGAAAAGCACCATGAATCTCGAGACGGATGTGATCTAAAAGCTTCTGATTTAAAGACTGCCCTCGCCAGCGGTCGACAGCACGCACCTTCTTCTTCTCTTCTTTTTTTTTCATCCTCCTCGCTGCCTCCTTTAATAAATAGCGCGTTCCTCGTTCTCTCTTTATGTCTAGCTAATAATAAACCACCGATGTCTCTTTCCGTCTATCCGGCGCGTCTTTCTCGTCTCCGCGTCTGTAAAATTACAACTCTACGGACCCCGGACCGCAGCTAGGCCCCGAGGTGCTAATAAAATTCAGCGCGATCGTTCATTTATTCGTTCGCACGATTCTCCTTCCAGACCCTACTCTCGCGCGTGTACACGAGCTAACACCGGCGGTTTCGTGCAGCGCTTCTTTCAAGATATTAAGTCTTTCCCCGCCGAATCCGGGTTCTCGTCGAGAATATAATTTTAGGCCTGTCTATTTTATAAATTCGATAATTCTCAGCATTTCAAATTACATCGCCGCGTAGAAATTCGACCGATCGCCACGTCGCGTGACAGCGTCTATATACGCGCGCACCGCGCGGATTTCACGCGGCAGATAAGGCGCATTAATAATGCAGCGTATTGCGGTGGCTTCTCCTCGCGGGGAGGAGAAAAAGCGCTGCGGCGCTACATATATTATGCATTAGGCGAAGGAAGAAGCCCCGAGCTAGGAGAGAAAGAGCGGGATACATGAGTGAGAGAAAGGGAGAGAGATCCGCCTTGTTTTCGGGTGAAAACCCCGACAGTTTCGCGCTAAGTTCCGACGTCGTCACACGCGCGCGCGCGTATCAGGACATCGATTTCTCAACTTCCCATCTTCCAATCTTCCCATCAGTCGCGCTTTTTTTTTCTTTAAATATTACCAGAACATCTTATCTATCGCATAACGTAAAATATCAAACGTTGGACGAAAAACGTATCAATAATTTAAAATAATATTGACGCAAAGTAAAGAAAGATTAGTGGCAGAAAACATCCGAAATCTGTCATTTAAGTGAAGAAGATAACGCGATCTGCGCGTTAAAAAGTGTATTACCGAAGACAGGATGAGTTTTTCGGTGGTTTCCTCGTCATGGAAACAATCGAAGCCACGTGCGGATCGATAGCTGCTCTGCGAATATCTCCATCTCCCTCGTTTCTCTTCCCCGCTTCCTTTCTCCCACTCACACGCTCTTTCCGTTCGCGCGGAATGATCGCACGAACGAGGTATCGATTGATCTCTCGTCCCCGTAATTGCCGTGATTGTTGCGCGATCACGTAACTTGATCTACGCGACGGACCGACCTATTATTACGTATGTACGTGCGTACGTTCGCGCGCGCGTATATGTGTACGTATAGATTTTATTTGCCAAATGACAAAAAATTGCAGATTGCGTCGTGCTACGAGCTACGAGGACTCACCAGCCCCGCGCGCGTTTGCGGTGCGGAGATTGGTGCGATAAAGCGCCGATTGTAAGCTCGTCGGATAATGATAATCGCTCTTTTCCCCGCCTCGCGCGACGCGCGGCCTCGATCCACGTTCTTGCTCCAATTTCTCTTCCGACGACGAGGAACATTTTCTATACAGACATTCAGGACTCTCTTGCAACCTTGAGGCTCTCCGCGAGTGATTTACTTGGCGAGGATGAATCCCGCGGTTGCGAACGATTCACGAGGTCGAAGATCAAGGAGAGAAGAATACGATATTCCAAACTATCGATATCTTGTTCGACGTTCTACGTATTACGTAACGCAAAAATCGATGATATGTATGCGGAAGCGATCTTCATTCGGAAAAACACACGCGCGAGATTGTGAAATACACGCGGGCGTGTCCATGCCCTCTAATGCACATTTGCTGCTTGGGGAGAACGGAGCGTGACTCTAAATAAGGTAATCCGCGCTATTAGAATTCTACGAAAGCCGCGGTCGACGCTGGCGCGTCGTCCTTATCCGAAAGGAGGCGGTCTCTCTTCGCGCGAGACGTTCGTTTTATCGTTCATTACGATGTCCGAGCGCGCGGCCGGGGCCTCGCGCGTTCCGACAAACCGGTTTCCGGTAAGCGGCCAGTCGCGGAAACGGATTTGGCTCATTTGCCGGAGCGGACTTTACGCCCGTTTACGTTACGGTTATACGGCGCGAGCGTGCGGGCGCGGGCAGGAAAGTCGTGCGAACGGTCATTCCGCCGGGCGCGCAAACGGGCAGACTTTTAACGATCGGTAATCGGTTTCTCCGGCATGATTCGCGCGCGCGCCATGCCGGCCGGGACGTCCCGGCAAAAAAAGTTTAATGGCCAGGAAAAAATCGCATTAACGATCCCGCCGCCCGTCGTTGCCGTCGCCTTTTCTCCGTCGAAAGGCGCTCGCCCGAAGGTCGACCGCGCGAGGCGATGCAAATTATTCGACGAAAAAAAAAGTGGAAGGGAACAAGTGGAGGGACACGATGGATCGGCCTCGGTCGATTTCGGGCGACGCCACTCGATACTTTAGAATCGCGACAAGAAGAGAAAAGTATAACGAGTGATTGAATTATGTCGCAGGAAATTTTGTTTAAAAACAGCTCCATTTAAGTTTGCACAAAGTTTTAAACGTACGCATATTCACGTATATTCCCAGGCATTTTTTTTACTTATATATTTCCACAGAGAGCGTATTAAAGATTATAATTTGACTTCACTTACCTCGACAAGTCTCCGCGATTGACGTCCGATGATCCGCAGCTTCGAAGAGCGCTGACATCTTGACATCTGTCCGGATGACAATAGAAGTCGATGGAAGAAAGGAGGAGGGATCTGGGGGATCAAATCGAAACTTTCAGAAAGTTCAGAAATCGCAGGGAGTAATAAAAAAAAAGAAAGAAACGACACGACGCCGTACAGTTCAATATACATGCCTATATTGACTGCCTTGTCTAAGTACATCGAATAAGGAATTCGAATCCCAGAATATTTAGCAATTACAGACGTAAATTAGGTGGTGAGATGGTGACTCCTCGCTACGCTGAGCGCGACCCCCCCGTCGGAGGGGGCGGTCGCGCCTTCCGCAAACGAACACGCTCGCTGCTACTCACGCAATACACACGCACGCAAACGCACCCTCTTTCTCTCCTCGCCGTATACACCTAGATAACATCAAAATAAATCTATATCTCGCAAATAGCAATAATTCCGATCGAGAGGCTATGTACACGAATGGCGGACTAAAACGCACTCACTCCCACCCTTTCTCTCGCACACTCACTGCCCTTTCTCTCTTTATCTTCTTAATAATTCGTAAACTAATTACTCCATCATTTACATACATACAATTATCTTGTAGCGCGTTTTTACGCGCAACTACGTCAGAACGATTTCTTTCTTGTCGCTTGCACAATCGCAAACTCGCGGGACCGCGAGCGGCACCGGCCTTCCTCTCGCTGTCTCTCCTCGGGGAAAATCGCGGAAGTTTAGGCGTGTGTGTATAGTTTTCTTTTTTTTTTTTTACAATCCTGTCTCGCACTCCGCCCTATTTTGGCATTCGCGTCGCTGCGCGTCGTCGACTTCCGCACCCGCTTCTCGATCCCGCGCTCTCGTCGGTCTCTCCCTCGACCGAGAGAGAGGCGCAAGCCAAGTTGGATCGATTCGATCGATCGTTTAGGCTCAATCGATCCGAAAAGGAGAGATTATAAATTTAACAACGAGGCGCCGTTTAACGAAGTTAAAACAGCCGTCAGAGACTAATGCGTCTCTTCGCCTTCCTTGAACGTTTCCAAAAATAGCGCATGGCAATGCGAGCGGTCTTCACAAAAAAAAAATGTACAATACTTAATCTTTTTCGTGTCACGCTACAAGATCATTAAATATTCCCGCGTTTCGTTACGTGTCTCGCCGCGGTTTTGCTCGTTACGTTATCCCTCTCTCCTCTTTCTCCTCCTTCCCCGCGGTTGAATTCGCTCATCTCGGGAGCCGATGACGAGAATCTCCGCGGTCGCGTTATTCGAACGCCCGTTATTCGAACGCTTTCTCGGGCGAGAGAGAGAGCAACGCCGGGCGTTGCAGCGGATTTAACGACCGCGTCGGCGCTTTTGGACGCGATGCAAATTAAAGGCTTCATTAGCGCCGTCGCAAGAAACGGCGCGCGGCAACGCTGACGTCACACACGCGCGCGCGGAGTTATTAGGCGAGAATGCGCATACCGCCTTTTCCGTGTACCCGTTTTCCCCACAGCCAAGCGCGAGTGGTGTGCGACGGGAGGGAGAGGGAAAAAAAAGGGGAGAAAAAAAGTCGGTCGCGGTTTTCCTCGACTTTCTGCCTCGAGCGCGAAAATCCGGAGATCGGAGAAATAATACGGGAGGAAGAGGAGGAGGATATATTACACTTTTTAACGTACGTAAAATACGTCGACCTTGCGGCTGCGTGAAAGGGGTAATTTCGAGTGCCCTCTCTTCCTTCCCACCCGCCAATTAGCATTCCTCTCGATATTAACGCCAATCGCGTTAATTTCCCGCGCCTGTGAAAATTTCGCCGATTGCGCGATCCCTCCCCGATTGCGGATTGCATTATCGCGAAATTGTGTCATTGCCAATTCCCGCCCCCCTCCCTCTGTAATAACGTAAATAAATATCGCGCGTTAATTACTTTTGGCTCCGCGCGCTATCGACACTCTTTTGAGAATTATATTACGCTAATTGAGGAGCACTTTTCGCGAAATGTACGCGCATTTTCGCCCAGGGACGCAGCCTCGAAATCGAACGTGTCGCGGTGGAATATTCTGCAGCGTGGCCATCGAAACGACGAGAAATACGACAATTTTTCTTTATCGTCTCTTCAATCGCTGCTTAGTCAAAAAAATATTTAGTTCTTTTCGCATCCGGATTTTAAAAATGTCAATGGCGCACCTACCCCTAAAAATAAAATCTAAAATCTACGACAATTTTATATCTCCAAAATTATTCCCATTGCTAATACGTCAATTTCGCTTACCAAACATTCCAGATACGTGCCGAGTATGCACGACCTGATCGTAGCTATGCAAGGAAGATTTCCACAGTAGACGACGATCGCAGCTGCGCACCGGCGCGACTTCCGGTTTCGCACGTCCGCTCCACGAGATACACATACACACACTTCTATTTACAAAGATAAAGAGCCTCGGATCTTTACCACGGTCTCCACATACCCTCCTCATCCTTGACCGGTTGCGGACCGATTGGCGACGGAGAGGGCATACCAACGGTGACCTCGCTGTCCGCGTGACTAGACGGTCTGTCCTCGTGGACGATGGGACCGCCGGTCTCGGTTGGTAGACGGGCCTGTTGCTGCTGCTGCTGTTGCTGCTGCTGCCGTAGATGATGATGGTGATCGACGGAGTGCGTCGAGTTTCTCGAGCTGGCGGTCTTCATCTTCTTGGACGTGGTGGTGAAGTCGAGCGGTTGCTCCGGCTGTTCCATCCGCGGGCTCTTGCTCGGTTTCAGGCCGCCGGTGGGATCTTGCCATTCCTGGCCGATTTCCTCGTGCGGCCGCTTCGCCAGCTTATCGGTGGCCTTGAGCAGCGACATGTTGGTCGCCGCCCAGATCGCCGTTGGCGGATTCGGCCCGATGCTGATGCCGTTCGCCGCGGCCGCCGCCGCCAGTTGCACGTAGTGGCTCGGCAGTAGGAAGACTACCTGGCCGTCCGGCAATCGGGATGGTATCACCTGTACGACGGAGAGCATGTTCGGATTCTGCTGCGACGTGGAGGCCTGATCAACCGGCAAACCCGACGGATGATGCGGATGGTGCGGGTCTAACGTCACCGGGTTCACCTGGCTGAAGGCGGAGGTCGGCCGGCTGCTGTTGTTGTTCTCGTCGCCGGCGGTGGTGCTGCTGTCCGGCCGCGCCGCCTCCACCATCTCCGGAATTTCGGACTTGATCAGGCCGGCCGGCGTGAGCGCGGCGCTGCAATGCGGCCCGACTGGCACATGGTGGTCCAGCGGGCCCGGGCTCGTCGTCCCCGCCACGCGGTCCGTCACGCTGCCCGGGCTGCTGCCCAGGCCGCTGTCCGGCCGCGAGCCCAGGTCCAGGTCGAGCTCTGACACGCAGCTGTCGAGGTGGCGGAGCAGCCGCTGCTTCACCGCCGGATCCATCGGCGTGGTGTTGCCCGTGATGATGTCTGGCGCATCGAGATAGCGGCTCACCTGAAACACGACAACGAGAGACCGGCGATATTTAATAAGTGGTTTTTCGGATCGTAAATATAAGCGATATTTAATAAGTGGTCTTTCGGATCGTAAATATAAGCGATGGAGCGAAGAGTCGCAACGACGGGGAGTCGCGCGCCTCGAGCGGATGAATCACGCTGCGATCCTTGAATTTCACGCGAACGCGCAAACAATTCGCAAACCGACGCAGCGATATTAAAGCGATGCCGGTGGGGAGGGGGACTCGCGCGTCGAGTTCAGAAGAGACCGCGCGAGCTTCTCGCTTTGCGCGACAGCTAATCTGCGTTTCCCCCAGGCCGCTCTCGCGAATAATTTCACGAGCGGAGAGGCAGACTTTTGCGAGCGTTAACGCCAGCGAACGTGAGCAAACATTCGCGCGCGAGTCAACCGAACCGGGAAAATATATTGCGCGCTGGAAATTCCGTTCTCGACCGCGAGCGCGGTATCGCGCGCGTCAGTCATTATCGACCGCCGGGCCGTAATTGAATATTTCGCTCTTTAATCCGCAGTACGGTCGAGTAACGGCGCCGCGTGATTATTTGTTGCCCTCCCTCCCGGTATCCCGCCCCGTCGTCGGCTGGCGCGACCCGGACGCGCGCGAGAGGCCCCCGCGGCCCCGTAATTTATTTCGTACGGCGCGATAACAACCGGCACGATAAAACGCTCTTTAACCCGTCGGCCGGGGCGCGGAGCTGCGACGACGCAACTGCGAACTTTTCGCGGCCGGGTATTATCGCCGCGAATCACTAATTAACGCCGCGCTCACGAGCGCGGCGGCCGCTGATTAACGTGTCGGGCGCGGAAGGTAATCGGGCGGGATTTTATAATAATGTGCTACCCCCCGCCGGCGGTTCGATATTTCGAGATAATTAAAGAGGGAGATTGAATTGCGCGTTAGACAAAAAATTCGCTGTCAGAATTTAAGAGATGACACGCGTATGTAAAAGTATTCTTCTATGGGATTAGATTTATCTCAACGTCGCGCGAGTGTCTTTGTATCTTTCTTCGGAAGTTAGGGAGAAACTCGACAAGTCGTATCTGGATCTAGAGTTTCAAAAACTAGGAAATTATATCCCGCGAATTATATATCGCATTTAATTCTATATGTGCGCGCGTGAAAAAAAAAACGACGATGAACCGTGGAAAAAGTTAGTAGCGCGCGACCGTCGCGACACGAGCTCGCGGTAGACCGGAAGTGGGCCGAATTGCTAGTGGAAGCGGCGGCGATTCGGGCGGAAGCGGCGCGATTGATCTCTAATCGCATAGCGTATCGCGCGCTATATTTCACACGGCGCGGCACGGCGGCGGCATATCGAGCGCGCGTTGCCCGCCGGCGAAACTATCGTCACCGCCGTTGGCGGACAATAGTTTTACGGCGAGCCGCGAATGCGCGAGAGAGCTTTTATGGGTCGCTGCTTCAAAATAAAGCAACCGAATCCGCCGTCGCCGCCGCCACTACGCGCTAGAAAGAGAGCGAGGACTTGGAAGGGAAGAAAGGATCGCGTTATCTTGGATAGATATCCGCGAATGTGGGTTAATCGCGCGCGTCAGCAATTAGGAGAAACGGAATCCGCATTTTCGATCCTACTGCACGTGTAGATGTTTCTAAAGAATTGTAAATTAATTTGAAATTATTAAATTAATATCGGAGAGAGCAATTAATAACGATCGACGATATTTAATATATAAAAATGTATATTTTAGGAATCGATTCTTTTTTTGTGGAACATTTCTGCGTGTTTTATATGTAGAAGAGAAAACATCTCTATGCGTGGGTAGTTTTTGACCTGGTTTTCATGCATCGCATTTCTCTCTCTCTCAAAGTGCATCGCGTCATTCCTCCATCCCAAGAATATATGTGTATACATATATATATACACACGCGATTCTTGGATCCCTTAACAAATTCGTAGTCGAGTGTCTCAAAGAAAGTTCGGCAATAGGCCATCAATGTCGAGTATCTGACTAGCTTCGGATTAAAATTCCGTTAGGATAAGAGCCGTTTCGAAGAAACCGATTCGGAGTTTATTATACGATTGCACTTGCGCAATACGAATTTCTCGGAACCCGTTGATCTTCATGCGCTACCGATCTCCCGGAGCTTCCGGGAAACGCCGATGTTTCGAGGTTCCGCCGCGCCCGCGTTTCCCGTTTCTTACGCTTCAGCATCGAGAATCGAGAGGAAGGAACGAACGGACCGAACGACGGGATAGCGTTCGCAGAGACGCGGGTAGAAATGTACAATATTTTCGGACGGGCGAGACGAGATCCCGTAGGGAGGATGGGAAGGGCCGCGGGCAATGGTAGGACATGTCGCCTTGGTCGACCGCCGGTTTTATAAGACCATAAAGTTTGTCCCGCAGGGACCCTCGCTCTTTCTTTCTTTCTTTCCTTCTTTCCTTCCTTCCTTCCTTCCTTTCTACCGTTCTCGCTTCGTATATCACACGCGCCGTGATTTCGCCGGGCGCTCAACTCGGCTATCCAAAATTTTAGACACGCTCTCCTGACCGCTCGAAACGCTGAGAGCGTTGCGAAATTCGATCCCTTCCTCCTGCCCGGAATCTATTCGAGAACGTTTCTGCGCAATCGAAATTTAAAGATTAATTCTGCATTCTAAGAGAAAAGTTTCCAAGTTCAAGAATTCTCACGCAAAGTTGGCGAATTGACCGAGACTTATTCTTTTTTTTTTTGCATGTCGATGAACCAAAGTGCGATAAATGAAAGAAGAGTAAACGAGTGTAATTTTTCACACGTTAATTCTCGATGTATGCTCATGTATGTACTCTGCTCGTGTATGCTGCGTTAAGTCATATAGCTTCCTTATCAATGTACGAGAGCTGATCGAAAAATTCCGAGACTTATATTTATCGTTCTATTTGATGCCGCGTGACACAGGAAGAAAACAACCTTCGTACATCAATAATCTATTGTACATATACACTTTTTACGATGCTCCAAAACGATTGGAGAATGTTCGCAGCGGCGAGAACTTTGCGACATCCCCTTTAAGGAAATCATCGCAGTTTCTTCTCTTTATCAGGGCGAGATCTCTCTTCCACGCGAGTTTTTTTTCTCAGATTAGAAACTGATCAAGGATGATAAGCGACTAAATGAGGACCATAAGAGAGTCCCCGACGTTGCCGTTCCGATTTATTCTATTGTCGCGAGAACGAAGGGTGTACACCGCGGCCGCTTCCTTAAAGAGGATGTCACGGAATTCGCGTTACGCTTTTTGACGCTCTCAGAGCCGCTGCCTATCCAATTGTGCAATTGATTCGGGGCATTTCGAAGGTCCCTCTCTTAATCACTTTTCCTACGTTCGAAATTTCGATGACGTCTTTTCACGGCGCGCAGTTAAAAAAAAAAGCAGACGTCTATCCGTATTCTAGAGCACGTATCAAATTATAGAGCGTAAGAACGCTCACACATCATCTGGTCTCCGTGTCGCAGGAGACCTTGGCCTTGACGGCTGTCGTCGTTACGTTACGCAATTGCGCGCGGAACACGGCAATGCAATCACAGAACTTTTCAATTAGCATTCCTGTGTGTGTGGGTGTGTGTGTGTGTGTGTGTGTCCATATGCATAACACTTGCTTAAAAATAATTACGCGCGTGCAACAAAATAAATATGGTTTGGATAAAGGTTGCGATAAAATTCGAAAAGCAATTTCGTGTTGAGAATTACGTAAGTTTTATTACGGCAATTATCCGTTCGACGTAAGAACGACCGTGCTCGCGCGAGGAAGATTGAAAACACACGCCGACAGTAATAACTTCCCAATTTGTTTCCTCCCTTTATCTGACGCAGGGCGTCACGTACGGCCGGCAGGTTACTCCTTGCCGGCACGCGTGTGGGCTGGCTGCATCTCTTTCGATCGGGGGCGGTATCCTAGCGCCGGGAAGTCGGCGACTTTATCGGCAAGCGTTCTGATAAGGCGGCCGCCGCGCGACAGGTACAGCGCGCACGGTCGGGCTTTGTGGCGTGACAAGTGCGCTTTGTCGAGGCGAGGCGAGCCGACAATCGACTCGACGCCTCGAGTTCCACGGTACACACGCTTGTGCCGCGTTGTCGTGCCCGCGCTGGTTACGTTACCGATGAAGATATACGACGGAAATGCCGTCGCGGCGTATCGCGTCGCCTACCCCGCGCGTACGACCGAGGCTGAAGTTGCTCGATAAGAGAAAAAAAAATTCGTCTCGAGTTACTGATTTTTCTTGGACTGGATTTTTTGTCTACAGGAGGACACCCGTAAATTAGATTACTGCCACAGCGCTGTGATTAATTAAATACACATTGTGGAAGGTGTCTAAATGCGAAAGATATATGATTTGTATATTTGATATGATCCTTTTTTTTGTTAATAATGACTTATTAACAATAACATATAAATCTGATAAATGAATGTTTCAATTTTATTTAACAGATTTTTTTAGAAAACCACCATCTTTTCTTTTCAGCCACATAACACTCTACAGCTTTAGATCTCCTTGCACAATTAAAATTAAAGTCTTGCGTTTCTTTAAAATCTAATGTCTCTCTTTTTTTAAATTCTTTTCTAAACTCTTCTTATTTTCTAAAGGAAAACATAGCAATACATTTTTAGTATTTATTTTTATACATATAATAATTCTTAAAATATTGTTACAAAAATAAATATATATCGGTATATCAAATTGAGTCACAGTTACCGAAATATGTCAATATATACTATTTGTTATATGTAGAGATTTGATTGACTTTTGGTCACAATTCCGGGAATTCTGTGCCGAGTCTTCACGCGGAGAAACCGAAAACTCTTTTTCTCCCTCCGCTTCCCGCGATCCCGGGGCCGACTACCTGATTCGACCGAGGATCCGACCGCAAAGTTCATCCGGTAAATTCTGCGCGATGGCATTTACGGGGTGTCCGCTTTCAACGAGTCTCCCCTTCGTTTCGCGACTGGACGTTCCTTAACGAACGAGCGATTGAGCCTCTCTCGCGGAGTCACGCGAGACTCTCCCCGACGACAACCCGATACGTTGGATACCTATCGTCGTGCGGCGGAGAGGGGAAAGAGGGAGGGGAACGGAGGCAGGGTGGTTTCGGGTGGGTTCTTCTTCCACCGTGTAGAGAATCCCGCCTTCCCCATCCCCTTTCCGCCGTGTAACACGAACCAGTTCCGCCGAGTTCTCCGATTACACGCTCCCCGGACGCGCTGGAATTTTTTCACCACCCCCTCCCGCTCCCTCATCCCCGCCGTCCCATACCCCGCCGTGCTACCCCGTGACGAAACGTGCGGAGTATAATGGTAAACGTGACGCAAAACCCGCGTTTTTCCGCGCCGGAGAACTCGCCTCGCCGACGCGTTCTCGTTTTGCTCTCTCGGAGATACGGTATCGATCGGGATTTTGTCGAACAGCATTCTTTTAAAGCACATCTCCTTTCGCGTATTGCAAAACTAAAATTTCAGCGGCTGATAAAATCCGTAAAAGTTATAATACACCTTTCTCTACGATACCGTCGTTATAAAAAAATATAACGTTGTGTATATATAACGCAGCGTCGCGCGCTTTCTCTCTAAATTAAAAGCGGTCTTACCTCTCTGGAGCAGTCCTGGTATCCCGCTTTGTACCTGGACAGCCCGGGCTGGGCGAGCGATCTCTGCCGCTGCAGGTGCCTGACCGTAAGCTCCAAGATATCGGCCTTCTCGAGCTTGCTGTGCTTGGTGTTCTCCAGGCGGGCGCTATCGAGGATGAGCGCCTTCAGCGCCGCCAAGGACTGATTGATCCTCGCTCGTCGTCGTTTTTCCATTAGTGGTTTGTTAGCCTGAAAAATAGAAGGCAAAAAAAACGATCTCTCTTTAATACGTCTATCAACGACCTGCGACCTGTAATTCTCAGATAAGAACGCGGCAATTATCCGTCGGCATATCCGAAGTATTATTCGCGTTGTTATTCTCGATAACCAGAGGTAGAAGCCGTGGTTCTTTGTACGTTAGAAAAAAACAGTTAATAATTTGAAGTAGCTTTCGTCCGCGAGCTTCAACGTTCGCGACTCAACGGCAGTAGGTCAACGTGTTGCCTAGATGCAACACGCTCCTCTATCCTAGCCGGAGTATTCCTTTTTTTTTGTGCGCGCGCTTCGCGGAAGAGGTGATTTACGAGGCGCCGCCGGCGATGAGCGTGACGAGCGAACGGGCGAGCAAGCGAAACAACGGCGAGAGAATGACATGGAGAGCATCCGGGAGGGAAAAGAGAGGGGAAGAAAGAGAGAGAGAGAGAGAGAGAGAGAGAGAGAGAGAGAGGCGTCCAGACAGAACTATCGAGAGTATCTCAAACTATTTTACGCGCTTCCGCGTCTGCCTTTTTTCTCGGAGCTGGGTTCAGAGTAAAGCGCAGAGAGCCTGGGTGGTCTAGGACGATTTTACGAGGACATTACCGGCTCAGGGCTAGAGCGTGAAGCAGGTTTAGGTTTAGGTTCCGGATAAGGTTCCGCGCTGGAGACGAGAATCGGCTTCTCGTTTCCTTCGTCTACTTCTTCAGTCGATCTCCACATTCGCCTTCTGAAACGCGGTACTATACCCTTTCGCGTTCGCCACGTTTCCCATTTCGGTCCCAGGAAAGTTCAAACCGTCGCGCTGTAGCCGGCACACGTCTCACATTGTCAGAGTCTGAAATATCGAAGTTTTTCCCGCCTTGGGAAATCGCAGGTACGGCCGCGCGTGTCAGCTTGGCTCGCAGGCCGGGGTTCTTCGCGGGCGTCCTCAACGTGCCGAATAATCTTTCACTTTTTTTTTCTCTCTCTCTCTCTCTCTTTGTCTTGTGACTCTCGGCGCTCGCTGGCGATGTGCCGACATCGGCTCGTCGAGACGACGACGTGGAGGCAGACGCGCGCGGTCGAGGGGGCGAGACGAGCGCGCGCGTGACAGTCGCAGATGAGCGGAGATAGATCCGGATAAAGTGGATCACAGAGAGACCGAAATGGATGACGGAGGTGAAGGCGTATACGCGACCGGGTGTCGCACTCGGTAAGCTCTCTCTGTCAGCGGCGAATTTATCTCTCCGCGCAGGTGCCACGCGAGTAGTCTTGCCGGACGCGTTAATCGTTAATCTATCGAGACGGGAAACGTGGAG